ACACATCAGCCTGAGATGTAAATAAGGGTTGGGGTTTTTCTCCTTGCTTAAGGAAAACGGCCTCTTAGAATTTAAAGCGAAGGGAGGATTTGCATTGGTTTTATTCTCCTGCTTTTGTGATGCTCTTTTTTGGTTTTTTCCCTTGCAAGGAGGTTGGGATCTCTCTTCTCCTCTCCCCGCGCGGGGACGGTGTAGCTGTGCGCGCGCATCGGCTCGAAAACGCATTTCATCTGTTTACAAGTTTCAGTTTAAGGGCAAAACCCTAAGGCAAAGAAAATGCGTCATCTCAGGGCTGGTGTGACCCCGGGGTACGTCCACGCCGCAGTTGGGAAACGCAATGACTGCATGCCTAGGCCTACTCAAAGCCATTTTTACACAGTGAACTGAAGAAAAATCAGTCACTTGCAGAACTTTTTGCTGGGTTTGGAGTCTGCCGGCAGCAGTCCTCGCAAAGGTAACACATCTTTTATTCCCATCCCTCCCCGAGCATAAGTTTTAGGTCAGACCTCTGCCATCTTCTCAGGGTTGCAGAATTTCAGCAGTAGCTTTGCAGCACTAGAGACAGGAAAAAAAAAAAGCCATTATGACTGGTTGTGCCACTTGCTCTCCATTAAGCAAGCTGGGCTGAAGAGCACGAAACAGTCCGAGGCTGAGATAGTGAGCACAAAGTCGTGTTCACCCTGTGGGTCTGCATTTGGCAGCACAGCCTTAATACGGTGGTCAATTAATTGTGACCATTAATAAAATGGTCAGTGCTACCCGGCTAGAAACTAGGGACAGTTTGAGTTGCTGGCTGGTGGGAGAAATTCTGTACAGAGAGTTTTCCAGGTGGGTGTATATACATGGAAATTACAGAATGCTCTGTTGTTTGCCACCACAAATACCCATTTCATTGAAATTGAATTTCATTTCATTTCTTTTGCAAAACCTTTCGTTTTTGTGATTCCGTGGGTGATAATCGACATTCAGATATCCAGACAGAAATTAGAAATACCCTGCACTTTTATTATATTCTACCATCCTGTTGTACACCAGATGTATGTGAGTTTTGTTCTCTTACAGGCAGCTTCTTACCTGCAATTAGCTAATGACTTGGGCATATTTTTTTTTTACTACAAATGACAATGAGTGGCAATGAGAGAGGTGTTTGGGGAAGGATTACCTTTTGAAAAATACACGCTATGCATGTTTTTCCAGGCAGACACAACTGGTGGGTTACCAATAGAAATGCTTCAAACCAACCTGTGCTGCTCATCCTTGTCGTTAGGTCCGGGATTCAAACCAGCTTCCCTATGGAAGAAACCACACACGTTTTCTGTGGCTTTTCATTGCTGAGATGAGCTGGGGAGGCACTTTAAAGGCTAAGCTCTCTAGTGTATTTTCTACTTGTGCACCTTGCAGCTCGGGGGGGACGACCATCACTGTGTCCTCGCTGCCCCAGTCAGTGCCCAGGACAGCAAGGTGTCTGCAAAGTGGCTTTCTTGCTCTGCTGCTGTTTCAGGCTGGCAGGTTTCCATCCCAGCGAGAGGATGAGATAAGCCTGAAATGTATTTTCTGGAAGGGATGGAGAAATGCGTGCTGCTAAAGACCTTGTGGACTGTGCAAACTGCTGTTAAACAGTCCAACGTGGGCACCAAACCCAGAGCCCGAGCTCTGAGGGCGGCTCTGCGAATCAAGGATTTTTCTGGTCTCTAGCTGAACCGAAAAATGGTCATGATGTAGTTGGGTGGAACTGGGTTTCCTTCCAAAAAACCAACAACAAAAAAAAAAAGAATAATAATATTGAAATCAGATGGGACTGAACTATTTTTAGAGTGTTCTTTCTTATCTTAAAACGCGTAGGTCCGTAAGCAGATTTTCTATGAACTTGTATCCTGTGACTTGAAGCAGCGTTTGAAGCTTCATCTACCGCTGACGCTCTGCTCTGTGTGCTCTGGTACCTGATAAGGGCTGAGTTCATGTTGAAACCTGTCCTTTAGTTGCAGAATTTAAAGATTTTTTTTTTTTCTTTTCTCTATTCAGCTGCCCGTTTTCATAAAAAAAAAAAAAAAAGTAGCAATTTCGTTATCTTTGAGACCTCTGTCAAATTCAGTTGAAATCAGGCAATGAGTTCAAACGTTATTAGGAGGGAATGTATACAGACACTCACCCAGCTGCATCTACGCCCATGTAGATACAGAAAGATAAATCAAGTCAGCTTTGTTTCCACATGGAGAAGGGGTATATTTTTGGTAAATATTCAAATGCATCACTTTGTACAGAAAAGCAAGAAAGCAAGACAAAATATTTTCTCAAAAATCATTGACATCAATATTTAAACCGGTTCCCTCTTTTCCCGTAGCGCATTTGCGAGTTCCTTTCGAAATCATCAATACTTTCAGTCAGACTAAACACACATTTTTCTGTTTGCAAATATTTTTATTTTTTTTTTCTGTAAAATTGCACTCAGCAGCGGGGAAGAATGATTTCACTCCTTGTTCTCCTGAGATACGTGCTAGAACTCGTAATTGCTCTACAGAACTCGGGACCTTAGACAAGAAATCAGTGGACCAAGGGTTCCCAGCCTGTGGAAAATATGTTCGTTGTCTTCAAAATGCAGATAAAGCCACTAATTGTTTTAGAGTCAGAGTGAAGTCGTTAATTTACCTTCCTGCGTACTGCTGGTAGCTTTTCTTTATTGCTGGTTGCTTTTTTGCCTTTTTTGTTTGTTGCTGAACCGTTGCTCGGAGGCGAGGACTGAGGAAGGTGGAGGATGCTTGAGGAATAGTTTAGCTCCCAAGAGGCTCCGGATCCAGACTGTTAGATAAAGCCAGCAGCGGCACGAGGAATAACAGTGTCTACAGCCTCCTCTCCACCGTTCTCCCTCACAGCCCAGCTTTTGGTTAAAGTTGTGTTCCTCACATTTCACGGGGGGGGACTATTGCATTTCTCCCTTCTCTTTCCCCACGCTGCATTTCAGGTGGCAAAGGAACAGGGAAAGCAGCTAATTCCAAGGGTTGGGAAGGATGCTGAGTGCAGTCAGCAAGCGTTGCAAAGCAAGGGTGAGAATATTCTGAACTTAACTCTTTAATTTTACGCCTATCTCAATTGCCTATCAATTCCTGCTTTCTAGAAGGAAAACAGCAACTTGATAGGAGCCTCGAGCAGGCGTTAGTTAGTGCGGATTTGAGAATTTGAGTGGTTAAACCCTACAGTTAATTTTAATTCAGTGGGTAAATTAAGTTCAGTGGTTAAAACGGCATTTGTGCATTTGCTGTATCGGTCGTTTGCACTTAAGGTCGGAGGGCTCTATTCTGTCTCCCTTTACAAGAACACCAATTCCCACTGAATTCCCCTCTTGTCTGGGGTGAAGAGATCAGCCCCTTCAGCCCAATGTTCTTCAGGAGGAGCTGTGGCTGTGCAAGGCCATCTAAAAAACCAGCCAAGCCCCCGTGTGTAACCGCGTCCCTCTGCTGAAGCTGCAAGCGGTCAGGACGGGCCAGCAGCCCTGCTTTTAATTGTGTGGGATGCAGATAAACTGGGGAAAAAACGAAAAAAAAGTGAAATTAAACAGCTCTCCCCTTCTAAACCATTAGGATAGAGCAGGCCCCGGCCTTTTTTTCTAAGGAGGGCCGAGATGTTCGCACAGCCCGTGGCGCACAGCGAGCTGCTTTGATTAAACCTAGCCCACGCATGAACCCGACTGGTGAATTTGGGTCGCCTGGAGGACGTGCTACCTCACCCAGTTGTCTCCTGGGGGGGGATTAGGGGGGTGGTTTATGAGAAAAAAGCCATCATCCAGCCTCTGGGAAGCTCTGTGCCCGCCCGTGGGGTTCACCGGGGAAGGGGGGGAGGCAGCTCCTGGGAGGGTCCGTGGTCTGGCCACCCCACAGCCCGGGTGGGCTTGGTTGGGGGGTGGCCACGATGCCCCCGCTGCTTCTCTTCCCACTTTCTGCCAGACAGT